ATAGCGATACACGAAGAAGTGTAAACTATTATTGTGACTGGGAACTTGATTTGCTGTGTAATTCTGTTGTGTGCTGTTCAGACGTGACAGTATCAGTAGAGCTGGTACAACCAATGCACTGGTTTATAACAGGGTCAGGTATATTGACATCACTTTCTTTTTGCGAGAGAATTATCTGTTCAGAAGTATACCCATTACTCTTGTTTTGCAAGTTTTGTTCCTTGATTAGAGAGACATCATGTTTCAATTTAGCAATAAAGTCAGTTTTTTCTCTATCTCTCTGCTCTGGATTCACGAATCTAGCTTCAACTTCTTTTTTGTCTTGTTTTAATTTTGTATTCTTAGCTTCAACTTCGATATTCATAGCTTCATGTTTGGCATACTTCTTTCTAAGTTCGCTAATTTCAAATGCAAGCTTGATATTTAATTCTTTTAACAAAACCATTGTAGATTGTATATCTGTCATCATTTTATATATGGTGCGGATATATTCAATTCTTTATTGTAAAGATATGAATTCATGTAACAAAATTCCTGGAGAAGTAAAAATGCCAAAAAAATTTTTGATCACATTTAACATCGAAAATAAATATACAAAAGTAAATATGACCATTTATATTCACTGATGCAATAAATCCACAAAGTACTCATGCAAACTAAACACAATTATTTGTGATAAATCATAGCTTTATTGATTTATTGATACAACAAACATTAAATCCCTTTTGTCAAGAAATGTAAATTCACTTGTACAACAGATGTTCGATCAATATACAAGGAATAAATTTTCGATCATTACCAAGTATATACCATTCCGTAATTAGTTGTATTTTTTTAAGAAAAGATTAAAGAAAATATAACTATTATAGTAATTAAAAGTTAAAAACACCATTGTAAATTAGTCCGTACTAATTATAAAATAAAAGAAATGAAATTTTCATGATTCAAAATGTCAAGCTTCCAGTGAATTCTGATATCTATCTTGCAATACAAATAAATCTATATAAAAGTTTTGAGGTATATAAATAGGAACATCACCACGAGCAGGGTTGGGGAAGTACACTGTACTAGCAAAATTTTAGTACAAGTACTAAATTTGTACTAATGTACTAGTGTACTTAGTACAAATAGTACTAGTACACCTCTATGCGAAATTCAGATGTACTAACTACTCTTAGTACAGTTAGTACATTTAGTACATAGTACGAAAATTAATCACCTAATTTTTTTTATTTGAGAAAAAAAAATTTACTCTGTACGTGACATTCTATCGATTCCAAGAAAGAAAAACTCACAAAAGTCAATGATCACGACCTCAAGGAAGTAAAGAAGAGAAGGCAAGTGAGGAAAAACGTGAGAATTATTTTATTATATTTTTTTTTTTTAATAAAAAAAATACTTACTTCAATATCCATACATCCATCGTGGTGATGATTCTACTGATTCCAAGAAAGAAAAACCCTCAAAAGCCACGATTACGACCTAAAGGAAGAAGGCAAGTAAGGAAAAGGTGAGTAAATTATATTATATATATTTATATTTTTTTTTTAATAAAAAAATAAAAAAAAATACTTACTTCAACATCCGTACATCCATTATAGTGCCAATTCTACCATTTCTAAGGAAGAAGAACTCACAAAAGCTACAATCACGACTCCAAGGAAGTAGAGAAGAGAAGCAAGTAAGAAAAAGGTGAATAAATTATTTTATATATATATATTTATTTTTTTTAATAAAAAAAAAATACTTACTTCGACGTCCATACGTCCATCATAGTACTGATTCTACTGATTCTAAAGAAGAAAAACTCACAAAAACTACGATCACGACCTCAAGAAAGTAGAGGAGAGAAAGCAAGCAAGGAAAAGGTGAGTTCATTATTATATATATTTATTTTTTTAATAAAAAAATAAAAAAAAATACTTACCTAATGTCCATATGTCCATATATGTCTATTATAATAACGATTCTACTGATTCCAAGGAATTAACTACTCAATAAAAATAATTTTTTTTTTTAAAAAAAAAAGAAATGGTATAATTTTGAAAAAATATATAATTACAATAAACAAAAAATGTGGATTAGGTAATAAACTATGTTATTGCAGGGCCTATTATGATAAATATGGTGAAAACAATCTAGAATTGAAAGCAATTGTAGATAAAACTAATCATATATTATTTCATTTCTGAAACTGTTGTAATTTCGATGAAGTATATAATCTAGAAGAAAAAGAAATAATATTTTCTCTTGCATCTAAGAAAAAAACAAATTTAGGTAAACGATCAGGTAATATTTCTTTATTTAAATTTATAATTTAATAATTTATTATTTTATATTTTATATTAATTAGATTTTTTTTATTAGCAAATAATTCATTGGATAATAATATTCAACCAGCAAAAATACAACGAAATACTTCATTTTCATCACAAACTTCATCATCTTTAGCACAAACCTCATTACTTTCAAATTATGGACCTCTGGATAACTTTATAACACGACCTCTATCTAGTATTGATAAAAAAAATTCAATCTATTAATATTACGTGTTACTATTTCTTGTGAATTTGCTTTATCTTGGATTAATAATTCAGAAGTTATTGAACTTTTTAAGTTTTTGAATCTACTGGTTAAATTATCTGATAGAAAAACATTATCAGATAAAATTTTACATGAAGCTGTTACAGATCTTAATAATACAATAATTGAGAAATTGAAATCAGATAGAATTGGAATTACATTATCCTTTGATGGTTGGATTAATATACGTGAGTAAGAATTAATGGGAACAATTATTATGTCTTCTGATGGTTAACCTTATGTTTGGAAAGCAATGGATGTAAGTGGTGAACGTCACAAAACTGATGATGTTATTACAAAAACAGAAGAAATGATTATAGATATTAGAGAATTGTTACTGATAGTGTATCAGCATATAATGCTACAAGGTAAATTTTTTATATATAAAAATCTTAATTTTATTTGTTTTTTTCAGTTAATTGAAATTATTTTAATTTGTATAATTATTATTATTTTAATTTATATAATTGATTTTTAATTATATTGTAGGTTATGTCTTTAAAACCAATATCAAGAACTTGTTTTTCTTTCTTGTTATGCTCACCAAATTAATTTGTGTGTGGGTGAAATTTTTAAAGTATCACTAGAATTTAAAATAACATCAACTTATGCATTAAAAATAGCAGTATATTTTAAAAATGCAAATAATAAATATTTTATTAGACAACTTCATACTATTCAAAAAGAGATTTATGAAAAATATATTTAACCAATGATTCCAGGAGATACTCGATGGAATAGCTATCTTACTTGTTGTTCAAGTATAAAGGTAACCAAAAATATTTTATGGGTATATAAATTTAATTTAATTTTAATTATATATTTTTTATTAACTTCATTTAATTATTTAATTTTAATTAAATATTTTTTTTATTAGTCTTTAGCTACTAAATTTGAACCATCTCAATTAAATACTCGTCATCAATCAAATGATCCATTAACTATTTCCCAAGATATTTATTCAATTATTATGAATGAAAATTTTTGAAGAAATTCAATAAAACTAGAATAACTTTTAATTCCTTATTGTCAAATTCTCAATATATTACAAACAGATAAAGCAAGATTATATGAAGTTTTATATGGGTTTACTTATCTTATACAATTTTGAAAAAAATATATAGATAGTGATATGGCAAATAGGATCTTAACATGTTTACAAAAAAGATGGGAATCTTGGGAACAGCCATTACTTATTCTTTCTTGGCTTCTTCATCCATTTTACCAAACAAAATATTTTATATCACTATCTTCATCAAGAATCAGTTATTTATATATGGAAAAATGATTAGTATATTATTATAAAGCTTGGACTGGATGTGATCCTCAATCTATTCTTGTTGAATTTGATGATTTTTCTCAAGGAAAGAATTATCCTTTTGATAATGAAACAATTCATCAAT